CTATTCACTATAAATTTACCTCTCTCACCCACCTCTCATCGCCTCTCCTTTACTCTCCCCTCCCTACTCACCCTCACTACTCTCACTCCCGCTCTCCCTCTCCCCAAAAGGGTCACTTAACCACCCAAGCACCATTAATCTGTCTCTAATCCTCCATAACTAACCCTTAAATCACTCCACCTGACTGACTTACAACTTACTTGAGTCAGTTGAGTCAGATATATAGTGGTGGCTATAGTCTGCAAGCTGGTATAGTCCCCTGGAGCTTATATATCAGCTTAAATACAGTATAGGAAGAGGGGATATATCATATTGTATCGGTTTATATAAATCTGTCTATTGTCTGTCTATTAGTTGGGATAAAAACCTAATTCTTGCTCTGAGTAAATAAATAAACAAATAAATAACACAATAACTCAATAACAAACGCAAGAATATATTAACAAAACACATCTATATATATACCTTTGTTTACTCGGCTATATTTAGGTCTCATATAAACAAGTAAAACGAAATTCAGGAAAGTGCTCCAGGTTTTCAATTTTCCAGACAAGTGAAACAACAAAGTTTTTACGGCCTTGTGGTGTTGTTTGTCGTGAGGTTGGCAGTCGGAGGCGGGAGCGACACAAACAAAGGTCTGAGTGACAATTTCTTCTTCTTCTTCTTTAACTTAGAGTCGAGTGAGTGTGTTAAATCGAAAAGCTATAGATATATTCACTAACATGTTAAATCTCCAGGTTAAAATTAGAAGGCTCGTATCCCTTCTATATCTCTGTTATATGTTAATAAATCTTATATAATTCTATATTTTTATCCTTATAATGAGGGCGGGGTTAAAAAGTGTAATTATAAATAACACGTAACACAATTAATTACTACCACGTAAAAGTTTGAAATGACGTAGAAAACTGGATTAAAAAATAAATAATAAAGTATATAATTATAGTGCATACGTTACCTGTATCTCACCTAATTACCTTAGTATGATTGAGCTGTACAGGTGAACAGATATAATACTTAGTGGTTTGTTGACAGGAACACTTAAGAAGCTTCGACACAACACCTGTCGGACCAGGTTAATTACTCGGTTAATTAGTGTTTGAACTTGGAGGTGAAGACTGAGCGCAAACACGGGGCTCTGTATCTGTCTGTCTGTCTGTCTGTCTGTCTGTCTCTCTCTCTCTCTCTCTCTGTCTCTCTCTTTCTCTCAGTACAGGTAGGAATCAACCCGACATCTACGCCTTCAGGTGAGTAAGGCTACTAATTAACCACTAAATTAACCTGCTTTAAGGTGGAGGTGAGAGACAGGTGCATCTGACACTCGCTTACAGCCTACTCCTCCCCCTCACCCTCCCACCCCTCCTCACCCTACCTCCCCTCACCCTACCTCCCCCCCACCCTCCCACCCCTCCTCACCCTACCTCCCCCCCCTCCCTACCTCCCACCCTACCTCCCCCTCACCCTCTCACCCTACCTCACCCTTACCTCCCCCCCACCCTCCTCCCCCACCCTCTCACCCCACCTCACCCTACCTCCCCCCACCCTACCACCCTCTCACCCTCTCACCCTACCTCTCCCCCCACCCTCACCTCCCCCTCAACACCCCTCACCTACTCCCCTCCTCACCCTACCTTCTCCTCACCCTTCTTCTCCCCTCACCTACCCCCCTCTACAGGTAAATGCACCCCCCTGTAGTGACAGTATTACCAGAAATACCAATACAAGGAAATATATAAGAAACAAACTACAGGTCTACAGTGAGGCCCTTGTAGAGTCTGTATTCTAAAGACTGTAACTACATACCAATACAGTTCTACAGTCGACTAAATAAATTCAAAGAGACTCAACAATACTATAAGGAATGGCAACTGATCTGGTAATACTGGTAATACTGTACAGGTGAGAGGAGATGAGGAGAGGTAGGAGATTTCATTAGCGTCTCTCATCTCTCACTCTCCCCCTTCACTATGAAACATAAACACGGAGACGTAATAATGACTCACTGATTATTTTTTTAAAGTGGGTTAATGTTAGCGAGAGGAGGAGCCTTGAAATCGGCCACAAACACCGCGAAACAAAAGACTCGTTAACTAGCCATAAGAGGTCTGGTTGTAAGCATAAAAGACGTTTCAACAATTCTTTCTTCTTAATGAAACGATAAACCAATAGAAAACAAAAGAAATAAAACTGTTTTATTTTGTTCTTTTTTGTTCCTGTTTCTACACCAAAGACAATTTTATTAAGTATTATATATTTATGGAAAAATTAAACCAATTACTTTAGATTTATGCCAAAATTTTTAATAATAATTCAGGTCTTAGGATTTATTTATTTTAGTTAGATATTAATGAGTTATTTAATATACCTATAAAATCAAGGTTTAAAAGGCATTCCAATTTAGCTTTTGAGGATTTTAAAAGATACACAAATTGAACTCTTTTTCATGGCTGCTTTAGGAGTCTGGTAAAATTTAACCTGACGTAAGATAGTGTTTTTGGGTAATTAACTTTTTTAACGTTAAGTATTTGTAGTTAATTATCACGATAACTGGGTGGTCATGACAGACAGACAGACAGAAAATCTCTTTCTAAAATTTTACCTCCAGTAAATCTGTCCTTCTAAAATCTGTCTCTCTAAATTCTGTCTAACCAAGAAATCTGTCTCACCATGAAATCTGTCTCACCAAGAAATCTGTCTCACGAAGAAATCTGTCTCACTATGAAATCTGTCTCACGAAGAAATCTGTCTCACCAAGAAATCTGTCTCACCAAGAAATCTGTCTCACGAAGAAATCTGTCTCAGCAGGATATTGACTCTTTCTGAGCCAGTGAGAGACGCCGCCGCCCCTCGCTCAGTTCGTCTCTGTGTTGTGTTTACGTCTCTGAGCCACCAGGTGTAAGTGTCTGTCTGTCTAGTTACTGTCTCTATCTATCTGTCTGTCTGTATGTCTATTTATCTGTCTGTCTCGTTCTCTCTTTCACTTTCTGAAACCTGCAGTAGTATTTTTCCATACGTCAATAGAACCTCTCTCTCTCTCTCTCTCTCTCTCTCTCTCAGGAGCGCGGGGGTTAAGACACCCCAAGGGACCAACTTGAGTTAACTTGTGAGGTAACTAAGGCTTGGGTCTAGTGTTCCTTTACCTGTGTTCAGTAATTGGACAGGTGATCTTGTTGTTCTACTACTACTACTACTACTACTACTACTACTACTACTACTGCATCTATCACTCACTCTCAATGAGTAATGGAGTGAGTGACCAAACTACCCCTCCATCCCTCCTCCCCTCCCCCTCCTTCCATTGGGTGTTGTGGCGTAGGTAAGGACTTAAAGGCGCTGATTCTTTAATGATATAATGACAATGTTTATGATGATGTATAATGATGCATATAGATAATGGGTGAACCATGTAGGTGGTGGTTCAAATTGGACGTAAATGGCGGACTAAACGACCCTCGTCACGCTGTCCCTAACAAGTATTACTACAGTGATTATTGAGAGAGAGAGAGAGAGAGAGAGAGAGAGAGAGAGAGAGAGAGAGAGAGAGAGAGAGAGAGAGAGAGAGAGAGAGAGGCAAAAGGAGAAAAAGTAAGGAAAATAAACAAAATATTGAGAAAGAGAGAGAGAGAGAGAGAGAGAGAAAAGAGAGGCTAGCTCACAAACTCTAGTCTAAGTTATTCTCCACTCGTTACGATAACTTTCCCTCACCGTACGATACTCTGAACCCGACACCTGACCCCCCCTGTGATTGGCTGGTCCCCACTGCTGCTGTTTACTTGAGCAACGGGTAATTCATCAGCGGCGAGAAGGCAATATGATTGGCTGATTTTCTTCCATGGCTGAGGGAAATATCGTACGAACGTATATCTAACGAATATTAACTAATCAGAAATAAAATTATGGTTATCTTGTATATTATATAATTTTATGATTACAAAATTGCTCTGGTTGGAAAATTCAGAGGTAATTTATAAATATTTACAGGTGAATGGTGAATTATTTACACGTCAGGCAGCGTAAAGTGTGGGAGCGAAAATGCCCTCCATAGTACGTCATTTTATAACCAGATTTACGATGATTTTGTTTTCACGAGCCACACTTTGTTAACATTACAGTAATTACTTCTAAGCCACAACTAGGTAGGTGTGTGTGTGTGTGTGTGTGTGTGTGTGTGTGTGCGTGCGTGCGTGTGTGTGCGTGTGTGTGTGTGTGTGTGTAGATTAGTAGGAGCAAAATTTTTTAAGTGGGGTGGGTCTCTCTCTCTCTCTCTCTCTCTCTCTCTCTCTTAATGATATTCCTCGCATGTAAATTACCAGAGATAAGGACCTTTGGTATGGAGGTAATATTATGCGCCTTTAAGATACGCGCCCTAATGATAACTTTTAACCTAATGAGTTGAATAAAGGCGAAGAGGAATGTGTGCTTGACCATTAACCAGGTACAATTAACCCTTTAACTTGAGGTATAAAGGCGTTATAATAGCTCTTCAACCATTAAGTCTTTTACCTGGCGATTAAAGGTGTGAATTAATTACTCTTAACCATTAACTACTACCATTAACTTCTAGACTATGAGTGAATGCTGTTACCATTAACGTCTCTTGAAATTAGATGCAGTTAAGGGAATTTTCTGAATTGTCTCTCGTCTTGCTAAGTTAAGTTATTTTTTTAGACCAGTTAAGAGTAGGTGAATTTAAGTTAAATTTCGGGTATTTTTCTTCTCGCATATTTTCAATTCTCAAAAAATACCTCAAGTTAAGATTTTTTGGGAGGGAAGAGCGTAAGTTTTTGTTCAGTTTTCACGGATTTGTAAAGTTAAGAATTTTGAATAAGATAATTTTGTGTTCTCTTGGATGGCAGAGTGTCTGGATGATAGGGAGGATGGCTGGGTGGTTGGCAGAGAGTATGGAAGGTTGGATGACAGGGTGGGTGGTTGTAGTGGTGGTGGGAAGGCTGAACGCTTGCTGGCACTACCCTTGCTGTAACCCCAGTTGGTCGCTGGCGTTCACGGGCGTCACACACCAGGAGCCACCCGCCGCCCCTCTCTCACTCGCTCTCACACAACGCGCCCCTCTCACTCCCCTCTCTCCCCACCAACCACCACACCCTCTAACAACCAAGCCAGAGGGTGTTCAGTGCTCGTCAACCTGTTTCTAAAAAAAAATCACCGCGAAAAGACGTCCATATCTTTGTCAATCACCGTCGTTATTTGTGGTAAAGTTAAACGATACTTGTTACTCTCTAAGAAGAAACTTTGGATGAGTGTTTCAGATGTTTATTTGCGTTTTGTTATCTATTAGTTAATTATATAAAGTGACGGATTTAAATAGTTCTTTAATTATTTTTTCAAGGAATCCGGATTGATGAGTGTGAAACGATGTTGAGATTCGGATTCAAATAGATTTTTTGTTTAGTCGAGTGTGATTTCGATATGGCAAAAAACAGTTAACTATGGCAACTCGAACAGACTAAAGACCTTCTGGTGATTAGTTGAATATGGCAAATGAGGAACACTGCGATGCCAAATATGCTTAAATGGCAAGTTCACTTTGGTAATCAAGGAGTTAGCAACCTGCTGAACCTGCTAAGTGTATGACAATATATGGCACGCCAAGAATAATTATTTTCCAAATTACTCCAAGTGTGTAGGTGAACATGGCAACCAAATTTAAGTGTACGGGTAACTATGTCAACCACCTATGTGTACGGTACTCTATGGCAAACAAAGACATATACTCCCGAGTTTCTTATTAATTATGGCAACTATAGCACCAACAACAACAACAAAATTACAATAATTTCTATAAGGACAATAATTAATCTAGTCAATTCAAGTGAACATCTAGTTATGGCACGCAAGAAAATATAGCACTTAATCGTTATGGCAAATAACTATGGCAACATGAGAAAAAAAAACGAATATGACAACTAAGTAATTCTATCAACAGCCAACAGAAATAAACCTTGACTTACTGATATCACGTAAAAATAGAAAAAAATAAATAAAATAACACAACAATTTAATAACTAATAACTTGTGACCAAAATAACAATACGACGAATCAAAATTTTTTATTAATTTCTCTTTGTATTTTAGGATATTATTGTAAACATCAGGACGGACGATGTTGAAGATTATTTACATAACCTTCTGGGCCATGTCGGTAAGTCGATGTTTGTCTGTATGTAATGATGTTTAGTGTTAAGGTAGATAAACACACATACATATATACATATATAAATGTGCTTGTGTGGGGAAGTGCTAGTGTGTGTGTGTGTGTGTGTGGTGCGCGTCATCGGAGAGGTAAGTGAAACGCGGCGGGAGAACACCGTAGACTTTCTCAAAACATCACCACCCAACTTTCACTCCCGTATCGTTATATCTCTATTTAATATTTCCTTCTCCTTTCTCGTTCTTTTTTTATTTGTAACTTAAGTAACAAATATTATCTATTTCCATAATTTGAATATGTAAGTAGATTAATAAAAATAGCATGAATAGACTAACGGATAGATGAAGTAATAGGTAGATTTATAGATAGATGGATAGAACAGTAACTAGATGAACTACCAGAGGGCTAGGTGGATAGAACAGTAACTAGATGAACTACCAGAGAGATAGATGGATAGAACAGTAAATAGATGAACTACCAGAGAGATAGATGGATAGAACAGGAAATAGATGAACTACCAGAGAGCTAGGTGGATAGAACAGTAAATAGATGAACTACCAGAGAGATAGATGGATAGAACAGTAAATAGATGAACTACCAGAGAGCTAGGTGGATATATAGAGAAACACGGGATGTATTTTTTCAGACTTTAACAAAATATTTCTTCGGAAAATAACTCAGTATCTTGTTCTCTCTCCTGGTTGGTGTTGAAAAAATCGTAAATTTATTCAATGGTTCCTGCTGTCTCTGTCACTCTGTCTGTCTGTCTGTGTCTGTCTGTTTCTCTCTCATTCTTTGTCTCTCTCTCTCTCTCTCTCTGTCTGTCTCTCTTTCTTTATCTGTCTATGTTTCTCTCTTATTCTTTTTCTTTCTCTCTCTCTCTCTCTCTCTCTCTCTCTCTCTCTCTCTCTCTCTCTCTCTCTTACACAGAAAACCCCACCATCAGTATAGCGGATTAACTTGGATTAAACACATACATATGAGACGGATTTCCTCAATAAATTCATGAACGACGACTAATCCCCCAAAAAAAAATCCCGACTGGAAAAAACAAAACGACAACAAACAACAACAAAAACATTCATAATATGCAAACAAAGTCATGTTTTTTTTCACATAAATAATTAATCATCGATATTAATTTTTGTTATTTATTATTTATCTCTAATACAGAAACATAAATAAACATTTAAAATTTATCCCAACGTCAACATTTACTCAACATTCATTAAACATTACACGAAACTATAAATACAAATTACAGCTGTATTTTGAAATGTGTTTACCATCAATTAATCTCTTCAATAATCCGTAATGAAATATAATCCCTTGTTTTATTTATGTTTTCTTTCTGTTACGTAGTTTTTTTTTATTTGTGTATTTTATTATTAATAGGTGAGAGAGAGAGAGAGAGAGAGAGAGAGAGAGAGAGAGAGAGAGAGAGTAATGAAAGAAAAGAGAACAGAGAAAGAGACACCGAAGAGAGAACAGAAAAAGTGAACAACGAGAGAAAAAAGAGAAAGGGAAATAACGAAAGAGACAGACAGACAGAGATGAGAACCCTTCACAATAACCACCAACCACTCACCATTTTCTTCCCTTAACCTTTAATTAACCATCATAAATATTTTTAACTGTTTCTAAAATTTTCCTTCCCAAAGTTTCTCAAAATTGGACATTGAACATAACGTACGAATCAATTAATAAAATATTCAATAATCTCTATATCTCTGAATAGTTCAAAAGAGACGGGAACAAAAAACATAAAACACTAAAGGGGACGACTGTTATCGGCACTGAGTGGAATGTTACACGAGACGAGTCGAATAAAATTGGTTATTTTGTTGTTGTTTTGTTTCTTTGTCCTGGATTTGTCAGCCAAGTAAGTCTTTATTGCAAGTGGTGAGGGGGCGTCTTTTTTGCATTGTGGTGATTGATGAGTGTGGGTTGGTGATTGAGGGTTGGTGATTGAAGGTTTGCGACTGTACACACTCATCCACATACCCACATAACCCCCCTCCAACACCACAACCCCCCGCCACACACACCCACCAACACACACACAACCCCCGCCACACACACCCGCAACACACAACCCCCTCCCACACATACACACCCACATACAACCCCTCCACACACACACACACCAACACACAGCCCCTCCCACACCCCGCACACAACCCCTCCACACACACCAACACACACAACCCCCGCCACACACCCACCCACACACACAACCCCCTCCCACACACACACACCAACACACAGCCCCCGCCACACATACACACAACACACAACCCCTCCCACAAACACACCCACACACAACCCCTCCCACACAGCCCCTCCACACACACACACCAACACACAACCCCCGCCACACACCCACCCACACAACCCCCTCCCACACACACCAACACACAACCCCCTCCACACACCCACCCACAGCCCCTCCACACACACACGCAACACAACCCCCTCCACAAACCTGCCCACACACAGCCCCCTCCACACACAGCCCTCCCACACACACACACCAACACACAGCCCCGCCACACATACACGCAACGCAACCCCTCCACACACACACCCACACACAACCCCTCCCACAAACACACCCACACACAGCCCCCTCCACACACACAACCCCCTCCCACACTCACACACTCAATAATCCACAACCCAATAAATACTCAAGATTTTCGAAAAAATTTCCTACTATTCATTCAACTTTCTTGTAAACTCTAAAAACAGCTTTTAAATTCAGTCCAAAAATCTTGTCGTTTCTTTCATCCCAATTCAATGCTGTAATTGTGGAAAGTAATGCCTCTATAACTCTGTAAAATTGAGTCTGGTGAAAGTTTTAGTGAATGGGTGAGGGAGTGATGGATGGGAGGGAAGGAGGAGGGAGGGAGGGATGGGGAGGGAGGATGGGGAAGGGGAAAGGGAGGGGATGGGGAGGAGGATGAGGGAGGGAGGGATGGGGATGGGAGGGAGGGATAGGGAAGGAGGATGAGGAGGGATAGAGGAAAGGAGGGATGGGGAGGGAGTGGGAGAGAAGGCTTTATGACTTGTCAGGAATGGAGGAGGAGGAGGAGACGGGGGAAGAATGATGAAGAGAAGAGGTGGGAGAGGTGGAAAGAATGATAAAGGGAGGAGGGAAAGGAGGAAGATAATGAAAGGAGGGAAAGGAGGGAAGTTGTAGCATTACTAAAAAAGAACAATGAAAAACAATTCCTCACAGGTGAAAGACTTCCATCAGACAGGCCAAAATGGCTTCATCTGTCAGTCGATCAGACAGTAAATATCTCACCCAGTCAACCTGTTATTAGGAAGGGGGAGGAGTCAGTCTTTATCAGTCAGTCGATTAGTCAGTCAATAACTCACTCTCAGTCAACCTGATGTTAGGTGGGTGGGGGAAGAAGGGGAATCAGTCAGGAGAGGTATTCATAGAGCCGTGTGACGCACTACCATCACACCTTCAGATCGACACAGGTGAAGCCCTTGGCCACCTGCCGCCAGCCCCCCCATGTAATATTACGACCAACATCAACACACAGCCTGAGTCCTGTGTGGCGTGGGAGGAGGAGGGGGGATGAGGAGGAGGGGTGAGGAGAAAGGGGAGGGGTGAGGATGGAACAGAGCAGGAGGAGAGAATGTGAGGAGAAGGAGGAAGAGAAAGTGTGACCAGGAGAAGGCGGAGGAGAAAGGAGGAGGAGGAGTAGGGAGAAAGGAGGAGGAGGGGGGAGAAAGGAGGAGGAGGAGGAGTAGGGAGGAGGAGGAGGAGGAGGAGGAAGAAAGGAGGAGGAGGAAGAAAGGAGGAGGAGGAAGAAACGAGGAGGAGGAGGCCCATACAGACATACAAGGATCAGGAGTTAACTTAAACACCACTTTAACACAGGAATTAGTAAGAAAAATACCAAATTAGGTCACAGGTTAATGTAATGTCACCTATAAAACCCGTAATTAGTCAGGAAAATATTCAAACCATTTCAAAGGTCAAATTACACAACACAAACACTGATGAGTCGAGACGAGGAACACTTCAGTTGTCATTATATGTGTGATGTAAATAGACACGATGGAGTATTAAAGGTCAGAGGTCAACTTATGTGTCAACTGTTATATGTAGGTTAGAGAAACAACAACAGCAACAGCAACATTAACAACAACTATAACAACAATACTACTACTACTACTACTACTACTACTACTACTACTACTACTACTACTACTACTATTGTTAATAATAATAATAACCCAATATATACGACAGCTTACAATAACTTACCCCTTTAGATACGACAACATTACCAAATAAATACGATAACTTTTAAACCCTTTTATAGATAGAAGGACCCACACCCCCTCCCTACCTTCCCACCCCAAAAAAATAAGTTTACTAAGCCACGTTAAGACTGGCGGTAATCATTCCAAACCCTCCCCTTCCTCCCCACACAGACTCGGAATGTAAAATGGAACGCTCCTCCCTTCTCCCCTCCTCCTTCCACACACATACTCTAAAATGTTCTTCCGGGAGTTTAAAAATAGACAATTAATTTCACATTCTTCAGTCCCCTTCTGTCCCTCTAGGCCCCTTTTCAGTCCCCCTTCAGTCCCCCTTCAGTCCCCCCTCCGCCCCAGAGAGACTAAGACCATTCTGTGTGAGGTGTGACAGAGGCAGGGGAGTGAAGTATCTGATGACAACACGGATCTAGAGTGCTAGGTCTTGTCTCGCTCGGACCAACACTCCCGGGGAATATGGTAGAGCAATGGAGGACATGTTTCTTTCTCTCTCTATTTCTTTATTCCTGTTTGTGTCTGTCTGTTTTATATACTTTGTCTGTCTCTTTTGGTGTTTGTTTGTTTCTTGGTTCGTTCCACACCCTCCTCCTAGTTCATACACTCCTACCAGTTCTCCCCTTCCCCCTCCTACCCCCCTTCCCTTCTCCCTCCCACTTCTTGCCACTCTATATATACAATGGTAAGAAGAC